CATGTTGCTATTCACATTACCGATGTTGAGGTAGGAAGTAGCCAAGTGGGGATGATTCGGAGGGAGAATTTTCTCGTTGATATTAAGTGCCTTTTGGTAATATAAAAGTGCTTGCGAATACTCGCCCATGTTATCATAAACCCAGCCAAGTTGATGATTGTATTCTGCTCGATCTTTATCAGAAGGCGCCTTTTCAATGAGGATCTGATAGAGTTGTTCTGCTTTTGCAGGTTCGCTCACTTTAATAAATATGACACCAAGTCGAGACCATCTTGTTCGTCCACCCAGGTCCTTACGTATATGTGCTGTAAGTGTGTTCAATTCATGATTGTCATTACCCACAATAGTGAGATTAACTTCGTATAGTCGATCACAGTGATTATCGGGAATTCGTTCAATGCGATCGATACGAAAAACCGCATGTGTTGAAAAAAGTATTTCTTCTTCTTGATCTTCGTAGTAACCAACTTTGCTTACTTCGGCAAAAGGTGTCGATGAATTAGTAGAAATAGCCGTGTCAATGTTCATAATAAAGAGGATTCCAACTGAAGTGGGATTCTGTGCAGCTGGCCGTGCAAAGTGTTCCAGGGAAACCATACGATTGCGACTTGTTGACAGGAAATTATTGAAGGACATAAGTCCTCCTTTGGTTTTTTTCATTTTTTCAAAATCTTCCATGGACAAACCTTGTCCACGAAAGACTTGAAATGTCGTTGAGGAGTTGTCTTGTTGCTCGCGATGTAATTCTTTAATATGATTATGTAAATGGCGAATGAAGAAACCCATCTTCAGGATAATATCGACATCCATTTGTCGAAGACCACAATTGAGCATTGAGTAAATCAAATATGGACCTGTGTACCACCAAATGGGTGAATGATTACGATATTCTCGTTCGATCTTGTCAAGTGTTGTTTTGGAAACATCGTCTTGAAGACGACAGTATTCAACGAGTTCCTTAATCGAGTTTGCATCATCATCTTCTATTTGCAAAAGTGCTTCTTTTAACAATTGTGTATACATAAATAACGGATCAATACGATTAAAACTGATCG